AGGACATAAAGGGTTTTAAAAGGACATAATGGGTTTAACCGTGTTTTTCAGGCTCTCACCTTCCCCGAGCTGCTCCTGGGCTCTCATCCCTTCCTTACAGAGGAAACAACTTCATGGTGTAATTCATACCAAGACCTCAGAGAGGATATTGCTGTAAGACCTCCTCTTGATAGACGACAGAGGCCATTAACAGAAGGGATCTTTTCAAAGAACAGATGATAATGTCATGTATTGTGAAATGATTTACTCCCAGACACTAATAAGGTCCATGAAAAAGCTGGTCTATGGCTTGTTCTACTCTTTTTGCAGCTAGAGATTGTACCTTACATTGCTAGGACATGTAGTTACAGGCCAAGGGGAATGGCTTGAACCTGCCAGAGGGGAGACTGAGATGAGCTCTTAGGCAGAAGCTCTTCCCTGTGAGGGTGCTGAGGCGCTGGCACAGGGTGCCCAGAGAAGCTGTGGCTGCCCCATCCCTGGCAGTGTTCAAGGCCAGGTTGGACACAGGGGCTTGGAGCAAGCTGCTCTAGCGGAAGGGGTCCCTGCCCGTGGCAGGGGCTGGAGCTGGAGGAGCTTTAAGGTCCCTTCAACCCAAACCATCCCATGATCCTATTTGTTTCATCAAGGTGCAAGAGTCACGTTGCAAGGAGCTAACAATAAAGAGAGCACAAGGAAATCTCTGCTCAGGTCCCAGCCGTTTCTTGAACACCCTGTAAAGGAACACCTTCAGAAGGTAAATAGGGAATACAGGTTCTGCTGGGTGGCCTGGCAGGTTAGGACACAGCCTCCTCCTCCTCCCAGCAGCACGGTCAATCGGATGCATTTTATAGCCAGAGGATAAATGACTTCCATCAGTAAAAGTCACAGCTCTTGGAGCTGGAAAAGCCCTTTGTAAAGGAGAAACAGACCTACAAACACAAAGGCAGCTCAAGTCACCCCAAAAGGAACCTTGATCTCCTGAGAGCCTTGCACCTTGCTGCTCAGCATGGCTGCTATTTGTTTAGTGGAGCCTGGGGTTACCAGACTCCTCAAGGTCAGCTCCCAGGGCTGGTGAAAGCAAACAGGAAGGATACCCAGTTAATGGATACCTCAGAGCAGCCTTTGTGTGGGCAGCTCCCTATGAACATATGAGCATGTTTGTTTGAAAGGGTATTAGAAGAAAAAGGCTCAATTTGCTCACAGAAAGGTGCTGCTGTGAGGAGGGGGATGCTGCTCCTCCTCTGCAGCAACGCTTCCATGCAACCCAAAGTGTTTTGCACACAGCACTGATTAGAGTAGCCATGGATGATGGCAGATGCTGCTGCTCCTCCTGACCTGCAGCAGGCTGCTCCCGGTGGCTGTAATGTGACTGCAAACACCCCCCACGTGGGTTTCTTCCAGAGGAGCAAGCTTGACATCACTTTTCATTGCCCTCACTTCAGTTTGTTAGCAAACACCAGCGTTATGAGCAAACAGCCTGATGACTGGGTTATCAAAGGAATTCCCCACCCATCCAACCTGCCAGCACCTGGGATTAGCAGCAAAACAGCCTTTTCTCCCCCTTCATTGTACCAGCTGTGCAAGACACCCAGTGGTAAGCTGCTCATACTATCCTGAGCCTTGGAAGGACCTGATTTAAAAGCATTAAATTCCAGCAAGACTTTCCCCTATGTAAAAGGGTTGGGAAACACCAAAGTGAATTCAACCACATGCTGATTTGCCAAGGACTTCTTTCCCAGTGGGAACTCACTCCTCGAAGTTTACTCAAGTGTAACTACGCAGCAAGAGCTCTGGAAACAGGATTTGCTTCAAGGAAGTTCTATAAGTCACTGAACAAAGCTGTGCACTCGCCAAATAGCGGCTGCTCGAGTTACGAAAGAGGTTCTTTAACAAACAAGTGGGTACGTGTCCCACTGCGTTTCTCTTCCTCTTTGCTGGCTAAAGGACAGGATTCAGTGGGGGCCGATGACTGCTGTGTTAAGCGGAGTAGGGACAGCCTCACTCCAAGCTCAGACCATGCTAACACAGGACATCAATGCTGGTTCAGGGCAGACACTTCCCAAGCAGGTTTCCTACAGCCAAACCAAGGGGATGCATAAGAAATGGTCAATTAAAATCACTTTCTTCTACTCATTCTCAGAGTCCCTCTCCCCAGTAAAACTTACAAACCAAATCTGCTTTTAAACAAAGCTCTCGTTTGCCACCACACGGGAGTAGGCATCATTTGGATGCTTTGAACTCTTTGTTTTGCAGAGGGAAGATAGTCTGGCTGCCTTAACATTAGTCACATACACAAAACCCAGCTTTTAACCAGCTTCCAAGAGCAAAGCAAGGTATGTTCCTACCCTCTCCAGCACTGAAAACACGCAGGTGCAGCTTACTCCAGCTGCACAGTGACTGGAGCTAGAACTTAATCACAGAACCATAGAATCACAGAATAGTTAGGGTTGGAAAGGACCTTAAGATCACCCAGTTCCAACCCCCCTGCCATGGGCAGGGACTCCTCACACTAAACCATCTCACCCAAGGCCTCGTCCAACCTGGTCTTGAACACTGCCAGGGATGGAGCATTCACAACCTCCCTGGGCAACCCATTCCAGTGCCTCACCACCCTTTATCTTCAACAGCCACCCAGAGAACTCCTCCAACCATCTCCAGTCACCTCCAGGCACTCTGAAGCACCCAACATCTGGTCTTGGCTCAGCTGAGTAAGTTACACAGTGCTTGTAGTGAGTCATCATGAAGGAGCAGCCACAGGAGAGATGGCTCTAGGTCACAAAGTCTGCTTTGTGGATGGGCACCTACATCATAATATATAGAAGAAAAACCAAGTGTACACAAGGTGCAAATTGTAGCAAACAAAGGGCTTGACATTCCCATCTGTTGCTGACTTTCACAACTAATTTCCTCCAATGGTCCACCTACCACCCCCTCCACAGCAACTGGGCAGTAGAACCAAAAGACGAGAGGATAAAGTCGGTTGTTTTTATTCTGCAAAGCAATATGCACATCTTACAAACACAAAATTAATCTAGGCGAGAAATGGCATTTCCAAATCAGCGATTAACCATCATGCAACAAGACAAGTGAAATGTAAGAACAAAACCAAAACAGCCATCTTAACCCTACGGTCACCTGCAGAGGGTTGAAAACCAAGGCTCAGATTTTCTATGTAATGCCAAAGGAAAATGCAAAAGGAAATGGCAGCTTTCTAAGAACAAGAAAACACGTACAAATAGAATCAAAACTGATTCAAGTCATAGTTCAAAAGAAAAGAAAACAAAACAAAAAAAGGAAAGATCAATATGATCTGAACTTTAATATTAAGTTTTTACTCTTCTGTTTGGCTGCATTCAACTTTTGTATGTTGCGCCTAGGAACAACCCAGTATCCCTGAGTATTGCAGCATTTCAGCCTGATGGACACCCTCTCTGCTGCAACACAGGGGTGCAAAGGTGTAAACTAAGGGCAAAAAACACAACTCTAATGTCTTCCCTTCTGTATTTGTGAGTTATTTCTGGGTATTTCAGTGTAGTGGGTGATAAGTTACAAAGCAGGTTCCTTTAGTTACCCAACAGCAAAAACCAGATTTAAAAAGCCCAATACATCTGCTTTGCCCAACAGACCAAATTCCAGTTTGGACAGTTGGAGTTTGGTTTTAAACTGGCTGAAACAGAAAGGACTTGGCTCTGCTGTTTTAAAGGAGTTCTGTTGGGTGTTTTCTACCTGCACCATCACCCCAATCCATTTCCTATTCCTGCCTTTGGTCCCCAGATCAAGCCACCCTCATAAGCAACTCTCCAAGTCAGAAGGCTGGGGGTGTGTGCTAAGGAACAGCTCAGACAGTTTCCAAGAGAAGCCATCTACCTGGTTTGACTTCATGGGCTCATTTCAGTGAAGCAGTGTGAGCCCACAGCAGCATCAGGAGAAAACTGGAAGCTTCATTTTATCCCTAGACTTCAAACTAGGCCATCTCTAAAGCTTTGCCTTAACGTCCCTGGAGGAAAACACACATTAGTTAATACCACTGAAGTAACTGGAATTCTGTAAAGGAAACGTGTTCTGAAGAAGGTGTGACTATTTTGCTTCAAACGCTCTGAAAACTGGTGAAGTGACTGAAGTCCCATACATACAGACCAGCAGGATACCATTAAATAGTGACTACAGGGTGTAAACCAAGAATCTTATGCCAGCATAACTGAGACTGTGAGATATTTGACTTAGGTTTCTTCTTTTGTGTAGTTTAAAGCAATAGGAAGAGGGAAAAAAAAAGACCCTGTGTATGTATGCAAACCTGCAGTTATACCACCTGACAAGAAAGCTGAAAGACAAGATGAAAGGTCAGTTAAGGCAACCAGTGGGATTGTAAAAGCAGTGGTGGAAAAGTCTGCAGGAAAAGCTTAAGGAAGTTGCTCAATAAGAAGCCAGAATGAAACAGCAAAAGCCAGAACAGGAAGAGGAGAAATGCATGGAATAAAAGAGCTAACTCAAGAATGGACACAGAGAACAGTATGTGTTTTACAGTGTGGTTTCTGTGACCTTAATCACAACAGCCCTGGTCTTCTCCTTGTCCTTCTCCCCTGAGTGGACAGCAATACATGGAAATGGGACAAAGCTAATAAAAGTGTCATTTTCAGCTCTCCTTCAGAGATGGCTGGAGAGTCCTGAAGTGAAGCCTTGTAACAGACTATGGGATTTCTTAGTCTTCCATTATTTGCACTTGCCCAAGGCTGTGCAGAGCCCCATCAGCCTGTTCAAACAATGCACCTTTTTATTAGCTTTCCCTCTTCTAGGAAGAAAACCAAGAGGTTACAGAAAGCTGCTCTGCAGCAGAGACACCCAATCCTGGTGGTGAGGGCTGCGGATGGGAGCTCAAGTGGAAAGCTTTCAGGTAGTCTCGATGCTGACCGGTTCTCTGGCATTCAGCAAGCCAAAGGAAACAAAAAGAATGACAAAGATCAAGAACAAACTAATCAGACTTCATACTTGCCAGTAAGAAACATTTTAAAATGGGACTTCACTTCCTTTTTACTATGAATAAAAGCACAAGTTTGTCCTAAATACAGCACTATTAAAATGTGAATATGTACTTCTTTGTTTCCAAAAGAAAAAAAGTATCTAAAACCTTGATATCGTTTCTTGCAAGCAAGGAGCAAACGGAAGAAAGTATTAGGCCACACAAACACACATTTAATTCATGTAGTAGATTGGTGGCACTGGAAATGCAGTATTCTATCAAAGGTGCATACTTGTTTCGAACACACTGTACATATCATTGGGCAAAAAAAACCAACAAAGATCTGTTGGTCTGTTTGAGACACTTGCAAAGGCATCTTAACCTGCCCAGATGCAGCTAGACAAAAATATCTTGCTCTGACTATATGTAGCCATATCACTAAAGATATCTACACAAACATTCGGCTATGTCCACAGGTAAAGACTGAACGGTTCCGGCCGCACTGCAATGCGGAACAAGTGCATCATCCCACCTATTCTGAATATACCTTTATAAATATGTACAAATCAATTACAGGCACTTGAAATGTCTTTGGTTGGAATAAACCAACATTGCAAGATAATGTATTCACAGAGTGTTAAGACCCAGTCCGGGTTCAGCAGGCAATGATTTCGGTTCTCAGTCATTCTCAGTCAAAGGAGAGGATGGATTATGCTTCTGACAAAGCAACCTAAACAAAAGGGAAAGAAAACATCTCATTAAACTCAGATTCTTAATCCTGTGACAGTGATAGTACTTATCTCCATGCAGCTGGCATATCTGTCCTTGCCTTTCCAAAGAACCTTGAAAAGTCACACTTGGAAAGGAGATCAAAGCGAGTCTGAAGGTGTTTTGTACTTTGCATGATCAATTAAACAAAGCCCTAAAACCTAAGAAAGAAACTAAAAACAAAACCAAACCCCCCGGCTTATACTACAAAATATCATTATGATCAAAAGGTGCCAACACATCCACGATTTAATATATTCATATTTAATCCATCAAGCAAAGTGCAGGTCTCCAGCACAGTACTGAATAAGGGCTGTTCCAACGGCTTTGCCATTGTTTTAACTGAATTCTGATTAACAACTGTTAGAATCAGGTATCATGTTTTATTCAGTTTTCAATCTGCTGTGATAAGAAATGAAACTACTCCATACCATCTAGTCAATACTTCATTTAAAACAGTGCAAGTAACACAGAGGAGTTGCATTACAGCACTTACTGAACTGCAATAATCCACTTTTGTAGGAGAGGAATTGAACTCAGAGGATCTACACAGCACACATACGTATTTTGTGGCACCCATCTGTAGTGTCCACAACGAAACGCCCATGTCTCTTTGAAAGGGAATTAAATCTACGTCTCCAGAGATAAGAGAAACCAGGCTGTACTATGTAAAAAAGGAGGTTTCCCATGTTTCCTTATCTGAGTCAATATTTTGTCATTACACAGACTCACCTTCTCAGAGCAGAATTCTGTATTGCTTTGCCTCAGTTTGCTTGGTCTGCCTTTAATAACTGCATAGCAGAACATGGTAATCACCATCACAAAAAGAAAGTAACTGGTATGCATGAGATGCAGGTTTATTAGAGAGCGATCGTCCTGCACAGAGAAGTAAAACCACTTACTGACAATGCATCAACAGCTGGCATTTTATATTAAAGCAGTAATTATCAGAGCAACAAAGAAATTACTTCATGAATCAACTTTCTCCCCTTGATGCAGCTGGCAGAGTAATGGAAGCAACTCCTAATCGCGGCACAAAGAGCCAAAACGTTCCTTATGCTCAACATTCATAGTAGAGATCTCTTCCCATATACTGGAAGTGTCTTTTGCCAAATGATTTCAAAACACAGATGTTAGCTGATAAAAGCTGATGCACATGGAGGTTACGAGAAGACCATCACACCCTCCAGGTGTAAAGCACATCTAACTCTGTCCCAGCCCTCACACTACAGGATAAACCAGCCTCGAGTGTGACTGGTTTAGGACATGAACAGAACCATATGCAGCTAAACCAGAGCTAAGCATTTATACAACATGACACAGAAAACCACCCCAGCACTTACATCTGGAACTATAACCGTCAGTTTGGGGTTTAAAGCGTGATACACTTTCCCGATTGCTCCTTTGTAACACCAGAAAGGGTTATAATCTTGTGCATATTTTGTATTAGAGTCTCTTGCTGTGGTGAAGATCTTGTACCAGAGCGTGGCATTGCTGTATGTCTCAGGAACACAATGTGGTGGCTGACTGCATTAAAACCAGAAAGAGTTAGCACTCTAATTGCCATTCTCCATGTTCAGCAAGAATAATGTTTAGAACTCGGTCAAGCAGCACAAAACATGGGTTTAGTTTGGACTTCTCAAAACAAGAACAAACCCCAAAGCTTAACCAAAAAAGTGTCTAAAAACCATATGGTTCCTGTACTAAGATCAGAATTTAACTGCATGTTGTTTCAGTAAGTCAACCTCCCACAGCTGAAGTGGAACAACACCGGGTTTCATAAGGCTTCCCGAACTCATCTGGTGGCTTTCCAGGTTGTATTGAATAGTGGCAGTGAGTCTAGAGAAGACAAAGGGAAACTATTCTGATGAAAGGTCTGTACCTGCTGGGGTATGTGGCTTTGCTACCATTTGGCTTACGTTGATCTCTCAGCAGGGAACAGTTAAAAACCCTTAGTGTCCAGCCTTAGCTCTCACACAAGTTGGTGAAACCAAACTATAGGGCATCTTCCTCAAATAGTCACAGATTCTTTTGTTCCCAGTGACATTTAAATCACCTTTTGAAAGGCAGGGACTACAGCTCAAAACATCCACAGAGAAATCCAGTGTTGCCAAAAGAGAGCAAGAGTCTCAAGGTTTCTACTGCGGGGAGGAGGGCACGTACATCATTTCCAGTCAATGCTAAAGCTCATGAGGAAGTAACAACCTCAGAGAAACAGCTCAGGAATTAATCACCCAGTAATGAGCCTATGAAAGAGCGTTTAAAATGCACTTACACTGTGACAGGAAACACATTGCTGGCTGCTGTCACAGTCATGCAGGTGGTGAACACAACCTGCTCGCAGTGGCCGTGAAGAACGCAGTCATCGGAATTCCAGGCAGCCGGCAGGGTGAACGTAATATTTATCTCCTCATGGGATTCTCTGCCTTTGAGAAAGAGAGAAGGAAAGCTGGGTTTCATTCACAAAAGTATCTGAGCAACGATCACTAGGATAAGGACAACACGCAAATGACTAAGGCAGCAACCATCACCCTGAATCTGTGCCTCTGAAGTCATCCAGGATCTTTGCTATCAACAAAGAGAGCAAAAAGGAAGTTAAAAACCACACCAAGCTACAAAAATCCCCGCTGTTGGTCTTTGTAACCTCTCCTGCCTCAGAAGAAATGGGGTCATTGAGCTCCTCGCAGCAATGAAAACCTCACTGTTTCTAAGTGAATTCATGCATGGTTGGAGAACTGTATTAGAAAGTAAATCACAGATCTGCAGCCTTCCTCCTCCCAAAGACTTTGTTCCACACTTGCTTTTGCTGATGCTTACTTTTCAAATTGGAGATATTCCTGTAGACAGAAAGGTGCAGATTAAACAATGTACATGAACTCCTTGTGGATATATCCACACTGAAAATAAATCCAGGCTACCAGAAATGGAACTTGCATTTGATAGCTCTTAAAGCAGCAGCAAAATATCAGCAACAAAATAGAGTAACACAGATTTACAGCTATGGCAAATGTCTCTTCACAGGTCTCTGAGGCTCAACACACCTTCAGGCAGGAATATAAAATGCAACCCTGGTAAAAGCTAAAACTCAATGAGGTTCTATTACTGATTTCTACTGATTTCCTACAGTCTCCTGTCAAAACTTGCTTGTGGGCAGCCACACAGCAGATCGATCTCTTCACATCAAAGAAACAGTAACCATCTTATTTGTTGCTGTTTGTAATATGAAAGCTTATTCATGTATGCATTTTAAACTCTATTTTGTTAGACAACATAGTACTTGATCTCGAATGTATGCACATTAATACCTTTAAAATGTGAGTTAAGGACTTGCAGATGTATCACGATACAACTGAAGATAGTCACTGCAGAAGCTTTTGCTGCTTGGATTTTTGTTGGCTTAAAAATTACCTTCCATTGTCAATAAGTTAATCATTTAAAGCTGCAAAGGCTAATCTCAGCATACCTGCAGGTTCTTTTCCATTCTGAATGCAGGGAAAAGTGTTTCTAGCAAACAAGTGAAGGGCTCTATAGAGGAATATACTCACAATGAATCTGGAAACATATATACGTTCTAAGCAAAGATTGATCTCACAATACCAAGCTGGTGAATTTTTACAGGATTATATAGTTAGCATGCCAATGCATAAAGGTCAAGTCTCACATACCTGAGAGTCCAATTTGGTGTCCAAAAATGGTGGAACTTAGATGTGTGACATTGCGAGAATACCCGCCGAACGGCCTGAGTGGGTCCAGTGTCAACGTGATGGTAACAGAGATGTTTATTGGACCAGAGTCCTCAAGAGTCTGTGGAGACTGTGTGGAAGATCTCGCCTGGCCACTAGTCACAGTACTCTCTGGAGTTGTGGTATCATTGATGAGATGCTTTAAGGTTTCATTCTCAGATATACAGAAGTCCAAATCATTAAATCTCAGGAGGAAGGTATTCCAGTCCTTAAGACAAACATGAAGATTTCAACCAGATCAGCACGTTAACTGTTGGCTCACCCTTCTCTAGAGCAGTGCAGATCTTGCTGCTACCATCCCATCTGCGCTTCCAAGCCATTGAACAGAATTACACGGCTCACAAAGCAGCACAAACACCACCATCGCAATCTCAACAAGCTGTTTACAGGAGTCAGAGGCATTCAATCCCAGCCACTGCCTGACCGCTGCTCAGTGCAGCAGCAGAACGTCCTTTAAACTACAACAGGAAGGTGCTGACTCGGTCTGTTCTCTCCACACTCAGGCTATGAGCAGTTTCTAGCAAGGTTTCCCTCATTAGGGAACAGTACTATTAGATAATACTTGATGCCCCATCCCTTGCAGCGTTCAAGGCCAGGTTGGACAGGGTTTGAGCAACCTGCTCTAGTGGAAGGTGTTCCTGCTCATGGCAGGGGTTGGAACTGGATGAGCTTTAAGGTCCCTTCCCAACCTAAACCATTCCATGATAAGGAAGTTTCACAAACAAACTAGCTGACATGACAGAGTAAGAAATGCTTCTAGCTGTAGTAAAGATCCATGTCAGATGGTTCTGCTTTGTCCTTGAAATAAAAGACTATTCAAATATTCATATCAATAACCTCTTTCCTTAAGGAATTAGAGGCAAGTATAAATGAAGGCAATCTCCCATTACACTCTGCACGCTCCCACGTTATTGTGGGGTGAAAATCCCACCTCATTCGCTTTGGGCATGTTGTTCAACTCAGTATTCCCACTGTTTAGCTCAGGAAAACTTGCTGTACCTACCTCAGTCATTTCTGGTGACTTGATCTCCTTGATCTTGAAGAAGTAGCCCAGTGTCAGAAAAGCTATTGCCATAGCACTTACACTGATCATAAAGACCACAAGCGGAGGTCGACTGCTGATGTAAACCTTCAGGTTCTCCAACAAGTTTATGTAGAACATTATTCTGATTGCTCACCTGAAAGCAAAGAACATTACAGCAGAGTGACTGGGCTGTGTGTGGGACGGGGTAGGGGTTGGTACATGTAAGAGGGAAGTCTGGCACTGAACCATGGGCTCATATACTAAAACGAGATTCAATTTCATGACTCTGTATTGTTCACTGAACACAGTGAGCCTTAAAGAAAGCCCAAATCAAAACATGCTCCACATCACCTCCTCAGCACCTGAAACTGCCAACTCAGAATAGACTTGAAGACAACTTCTAGCACAGCCAAATATTAAGCAATAAACCCAGCTCTTTCCTTTCCCCCCACACAAAAGCAGGATATGCACTGCTACACCTTAATTCCAGTAATATTTGAATTTATCAAGTTACAGCGTGGATGGAGTTGCAATGCAACCCAGAAATCAAACTTTCTGTGTCCTTGTATACACTTTCAAAACTGAGGTTGAAGCCTTAGAGCTCCTTCTTCACCCTGTCCCTAGTCCCAGATGTGTCTACCTTCAAACTGGGAGCAGAGAAGCAGCTCAACATTTTAGGCTTCTGCACCAGAACCCTGTGGTCAGAATCAGCTAAAAACTGCATTGGAATGCAGGCTGGAAACCTTCTTTATGAGATTCCTGCAGGATATAGAACATTAAATGTTATACTTTGCCTGATTCCCCTTCGGAATGCTCACTTGCAGAGCAGAAACACTCAACCTCAGTTTGCTTCATCAGCTTCCCCACCGCCACTCACTCACAAGTCCAGTGTTAAAGGGCAGCCTTGAGGCATCTACTTCAGGAGCTTCACATGGAAGGAACCTCAAGCAAAGCTCTTCTCTTTGTCTTACCTAAAAATCCTGGTTGAAAAGGCTTTTAAACCCCAATTAAACTAGAAAAGGGAGACCTTAGAGCAGTGCTGCTTAAACCCAAATCCATAGGAAAAGGCAAACTTCAGGACTAGCATCTAAAGAGTTCAGCACTTCAACGGTTAATGTTTGAGCACTCACACAGATCTGATAACATTTAATTAAGTCAAGGACACTGCTCCCTGCAGGTCTGGGTGATTCTCATTTACTAGAAGCACACGTCACTTACAGCCCAGATGTAGCCTGGCTGAGGAGGGGTAAGAGGATGAGAGGGGCAGGTTTGGGAAAGAGGGCAAGGGAGAGAGTGATCTTTGATCTAGTGATTTAAAAGAAAGCAAGGGAAGGGAAAAGGCCAAGCTTTCAGACAAAGCCTTTTTCAGATCCTACAATGATCACAACTTTGTGTCTATCCAAGATTTTACTGGCAGAAATGCTTCCATTGTTCCTAACAGAAGGAATATTGTCAAAACCTGCAAAACTGCCCAAAGAGGAGAAAATTCAACTCCCTGAGAAGGGAGCCAAGGTCCTGCGGCAATAACCCAGCACTGAGCTGCGCTTGCTGACTTTCCCCCTCTTGTCCCCACACACCTACTTGCTCTCCTTGGTGAAATGTGCTGAACCAGTGCTCTCTCCAGAGCACAAGATCACCTCCTGGGTGTACTGTATTGCACCATCAACTGTCTTTCATCCGCTCTGCAAAGACCAGGGAAGCCAGCAACTTTTCCTCAGCAAGAATGGGTGCTAACCATCTCTTTACACAAACACACTGTGTCTGTGTCATGGTTTAAGACCAGCTGGTAACTCAGAACTGTGCAGCCACTCGCTCCCCTCCTTTCTTCCCCCCCTGCTCCCAGAGGGATGAGGAGAATCGAATATAACTCCCATAGATTGAGATAAGAACAGTCCAGCAATTAAGGTACAATACAAAACCACTACTGCTACCATCAATAGTAATAACGATAAAGGAAATAACAAGGGAAAATAATACAATTGCTCACCACCCGCCGACCAATACCCAGCCCAACCTGAGCAGCGATCTTGGCCTCCCAGGTAACTCCCCCCAGTTTCTATACTGGGCATGACGTGCTGTGGTGTGGAATACCCCTTGGGTTAGTTTGGGTCAGGTGTCCTGTCTCTGCTTCTTCCTGGCTTCCCCTCCTCCCTGGCAGAGCATGAGACTGAAAAGTCCTTGATCAGAGTAAACATTACTGAGCAGCAACTAAAACCATCGGTGTTATCAGTGCTGTTCCCAGGCTGAAAGTCAAAAGCAGAGCACTGCACCAGCTACTAAGGAGGAGAAAAATGACTGCTACTGCTGAACCCAGGACAGACTGAGAGTGAAACGCACAGTGCAGAGGAAGGATGGAGAAGGAGGGAAGCAAAGGTGATATAAATACATGCCTTACCTTAACTTCTATCTCTGTCCAAGACCAGCTGCGCTACGGCCAAACAGGCCAGGGAAAGGTAAAAGGCGGCAGGAGAGGGAAAGGGAACACTGGTGCTGGTTAGCATCATGCCGAGTACAACCCGTGCTTCTGCTTCCTATCTTGTCACTGGCAGCTAATTCCTTAAATGAGCCCTAGTTAAAAACGCCAAACACTCCATCTAGAAGCATTGGAGACACATGTTGAGATGGAAAAAGATCAAAAGATAAACCAAAAGCAGAGTTGTGTTCAGTGCTCCCTTCTGGATTTCCTTTGGAAAATAACAACACAGATGCAGGCTTTATTACAGCATTTAATCAAAGCTGAATGTCACCCGCAGCATATACAGCACTGTGATTCCTTTTTAAAGGGGCTTCCAACAGCTCCATTAGCATGCTTGTTTACCACAGGGGCTAAAATCAGCTGTAAAACTGGATGTGCTGAAAAGCGTACCTATAAAAATATTTGGGTTAATATCTTTATGTAAGAGATCACCAGCTTTTAAGTGCTGCTTGCTTAATAGGCTCCCATAACTCACAGGCTTTGAAAGCAATTAGGAAATGCTATAAGCTGCAATTTCCGAAGTGTAATGTGCCTTTTGAGCATTTGTGAGAGAAAAGGGAACAACTGTGGATTTCAGTGCTAGAGCTGATGTGAAAATAGCAGTAAGACATGGCTGGTGCAAAGCAGGACCAAGAGGAACGTTTCCACCCTGCTGCCTGCTGAACTCCTGTTTTTTTCATGGAATAACGTGCTTAAATAACACTAATTATCAAAGAACATGTGAATCAGATCAGTGCATGGAAATGAAAATGTGCATTCCCACTAGATTTAAGGGTTTGGTTAATGCTCCTCTCACTTCAACTCCTCCTTTCTATTAGGAGCTGTTAGCAACCCCCTCTACTGAACTCTGGTGACATCCCCTCTGCAGGCCTGCATCTAGGTCTGGGGCAACAGCACAAGAAGGATGGGGAGCTGTTGGAGTGAGTCCAGAGGAGGCCATGGAGCTGCTGCGAGGGCTGGAGAGCTGGGCTGGGTCAGCCTGGAGAAGGCTCCTGAAGGGGAGACCTTAGAGCAGCTCCAGTGCCTAAAGAGGCTGCAAGAAACCTGAAGAGGGGCTTTGGACAAGTGCCTGTAGGGACAGGCCAAGGGGAATGGCTTTAACCTGGCGGGGAGGAGACTGAGATGAGCTCTTAGGCAGAAGCTCTTCCCTGTGAGGGTGCTGAGGCGCTGGCACAGGGTGCCCAGAGAAGCTGTGGCTGCCCCATCCCTGGCAGTGCTCAAGGCCAGGTTGGACACAGGGGCTTGGAGCAAGCTGCTCTAGTGGAAGGTGACCCTGCCCGTGGCAGGGGTTGGAGCTGGATGAGCTTTAAGGTCCCTTCAACCCAAACCAGGCTGGGATTCTAGGAAATGCTGTTCTTCTCCCAGCTCTAGCTGTAACTAACAACTTCCCCTGGATAAATGAATACCTAATGAATATCATCTAAATTTTCATTTCTTTTTCACCCCGTTTAAAAAACAACAAAAGGACCTGACTCTATCGGCAGGTCAGAAAGCGAGATCAGGTTTCACTTTTTTAGCTAGATAAATAATGTAGGAAGCAGCTCTAATAACCGCTGCGGCCTTTCTGCACTCCGGCTCAGCCTTTTCATACTGGTGCAATAAAAATCTTCACAGTCAGCCTAACAAGGAGCTCAAGCACAACAGGAAGAATGAAAACTGCCAGCCTGGAACATCGGCTTCCAACTCCAAAGTAATTGCTTGGTATTGAGGTGTGTTCATCAAGACCAAATGCCGCGGTCAGGCAGAGTAAGAGCTGATGGTACTCACCAGGAAGCACTCAACAAGCACCAGGGAGGTATCATGCTCTTAAATCAGGCCCTACAAGCTACGGAAATGGTGTTATACAGTTAAAAAGATACAAATGGGGAAGGATGGAAAGGCACAACAGTTCATATGTCAGAGTTCCAGGCAAACACAGAATGGGGGAGCCTAAAAAGTCACTTATAGGAAGACTCCCTAAAGTGTAGAGTAAAACAGCCCAAGACCGTGCACAGCAACCTTAAAGAAGTAACATTTTCAATCCCTGCTCATTTCTATATGAAAGCACAGAGAAAAGGTAACTTCTGAAACAGACCTATGAGGTTTCCAACAAATAAGGAAAATCAGGCAGTCTATTGCAAAGACCGAAAAATCAACGCAGTCAATCATAGCAGAAGTATTAAATTCCCATTTCAGGGCTCAACAGCACAGGAACTAATTCCTAACATCAATTTAAAAGATGTCTGCTGTCCTAAAACAAGTATTAAAAGTAAAACTGCAGTTGCCAAAAGGAAAAGAACCTCAAACCCTGGAGTTCAAAGAGGTCAAAGCAAACGTCTGGCAATCTTTATGTGTATCTTGCTGTAACGACAACTACCATCTTTCCACTAGAAAGCTTAGAACAATGTAATTTCCTTACAAATATTTCCCTTTCTTGTCATGGATGCAACATCTAGAGGGGTTTAAATAGCAATAAATACTGAAACATCTTAAGGAATGAAACCGCAGGTGGAAGAGAAGGATGGGAGGCCGGCACTAACCCATCCCAACAGCATTCCATTAAGACCTCACATGTTTTCTAAGCCTGACCATCCTATTGCCCATAATGATGTTTAATCTTAACTGTGCAGCTCAGTTCGTTTGTAAATCAATTCTGTCTTCAAAGATACCCCATTACCAGCAGCACAACAGGGGTTAGGAAATTGGTCAGATCAGGGTTAACTATTTGGTATGAAAATAACATGCCAGGTAAACACTCATAAACACAACTGAACCAAAGGATGATTTTCTTAGCAAGCCATCCAGAAATAACATGCAAACAAAGCCACAGTGTCGATCTCAGACTAAAGTGCCTCTCATTTAACAACAGTAAACAGCAGCGGGTACCAAAAATATCTCCAATTTGGTTTTCTTCTCTTCAAATGAACCTGATGTCTAACACCTAAACCACTAAAATAGTACAGCAAAACTGAACACAGTTGTGCTAGCTGTGAAGCTGGGATGGGTACAGGGACCAGCACTCTTCAACATCTTTGTCAGTGACACGGACAGTGGGATTAGTGCACCCTCAGCCTCAGTTTGCTGATGACACCGAGTTGTACGGTGCAGTCGACATGCTGGAGGGATGGGATCCAGAAGGACCTGGACAGGCTGGAGAGGTGGGACTATGCAAACCTTATAATGTTCAACAAGGCCAAGTGCAAGGTCCTACGCCTGGGTCAGGGCAATCCCAAGCACAAATAGAGGCTGGGCAGAGACTGGATGGAGCAGCCATGAGAAGAAGGACTTGGGGGTGTGGAGTGATGAGAAGCTCCCCATGACCCAGCAGTGTGTGCTTGGAGCCCAATAACCACTCATGTCCTGGGCTGCATCCCCAGAGCAGGACCAGCAGGTCAAAGGAGGGCATTTATATTCAAGTGTTCATATTCACTTTTGTATACAAGAGCTCTGGCTTGGGCATTTTTAAATCCTTCCATCTTCTGCAAACTAAACCAATGACTTCCAACATGACTTATCATCATCTAATGTGGATTACAGCAAAAGATACAATATTAGATGCCAGGACTTTAAAGTTGCATTAAAAATTGCTCTTCTGGTTACTGCTGCTTAGCAGGAGAGCCTGGGAGAGGAAGGCAAAAGTATTTGTGTTTGTAAGATCCATCAAGGTTCTATAGGAAATTAAATCCTGCATTTACCATACTGACAACAGCCAAACCAGCGCAGTTCACAGACTTGACTCAAGAAGTATTAAAAGCCTCAGGAACAGTTTAATAATCGGAAACTGGTTTAGTGGCCAAGTGAAGGAGGTTAATCGTTGACTTCATTAAACTACCCATTGAGGAATGTGGTACCGAATCCAGCAAGGTACAGAAAAATGCCAGGAAAAGGCTCTTCAGACTAATGGAAAGTGTTGCTGGAATGAGAACTGTGAGGAGACAGAGATGCAGACAGACACACAGCTTGAATCACAAGCAGAAAATGACTGACAAGCGGAGGAAATGGCAGCTTCAGTGGGAACAGCAAAATAAGAGCTCTGGATGCAGACAGAAGGTAACATTGGCTGTGTAAGAGAAGCAGGAAAACAGCCAGAGGCTGTGAAGGAGAAAATACCAAGAGCAGCAAAACCGACTGAAATGAGAGACTTGGGCAATAGCTGAAATATGAAATATTACCCTCTCTGAACACTCGAACCCCTGTTAAAAGAAACAGGACTTTCATTTCCTTAGCCCAAACTCACCTAAGTAAGTACAGTCTGCATTTCCCAGATGGATAATTAACAAAACCTCATGTGCCAGGACAGACGCAAGCTTTCTTCCAAAGTAAAACCCAGGAGTGCCGAGTTTGGAATCAGCTTTAGTCACAGGTCAGAATGGTCTCCTCAAAGAAACTAAACTCCCAACACTGCCTTGCTTTTGGCAAGGGGACATTTGGGAAAAGCAGCAACATTCTGACACCAATAACTTCGGTGAATGCTTAGTTTAAAGCTCATTTGATAAATCAGCTTCATGTCTATGGAATGGTATTTAACAAAGACAATAAAGCTGACCACAGCTCAGAGCTGCAGGAGCTGTCAGGGAGTGTTTAAGGAGGAAGCTGCACTCCCCAGCACGCTGTCCCGAGGTGATGGACGTGCCAGCCTCCTGGCTCTCACCGGATGCATCCGGCTCACACAAAGGACACCGAGGTCTGTTTGTTGGTGCCCTCAGATGTTCCTCTCTCCTGACAAGAGCACTTTGTGTTATCAGGCGGCATTTCAAGCTCTTGTCTTTCAAGTGGGGCAGAAGAATGACGTTCCACTGGCCTGAGCCACTCCTCAGACCACAGGAGGTAACAAAGCTACTAAGGTCTTAACCCCCTTCGATTAAATCTAGGGTTGAAGATCAGCCTCGGAGGCACAATTCAATGTTATCTCGGCTCCCTCTGCCTAAGTTATCCCCTCTCCTGCAGACCTGCTGGCCAGAAGCTGGGCGTCAGTTTATTCCCAGAGACCAAAGGAAAAGCAGGTGGATGGAAGCGGCAGCAGCTCACAAGATGAACTTGGAGCCATTTTGTATGTCCAGCTTGGATGCAAAAGGATTAGTGCACATGTCCTATAACTCAAACATATATAGAAGTGCATTAATGATTTACCACAACAGGCCTTAATCCCTGTGAGGGTGCTGAGGCGCTGGCACAGGGTGCCCAGAGAAGCTGTGGCTGCCCCATCCCTGGCAGTGCTCAAGGCCAGGTTGGACACAGGGGCTTGGAGCAAGCTGCTCTAGTGGAAGGTGTCCCTGACAGTGACAGGGGTTGGAACCGGATGAGCTTTAAGGTCCCAAACCAGTCTGGGATCCTGTGTTATCCTTTTAACCCCACAACTTTCCAGAAGGTGGATGAGGATGTGCCATGGATCCTCTGTGAACTCCTATCTAGACTCAACGCCTGTCTAACAGTGCAAATTAACCCCTGTAATTACACCACGCAAACAAACTTCCCCGGAGAAGACAAGCCCTTAAAAAGCAAACGAAAGGAAAGTGGAAGCACCAAAACTGCTTTGGAGCTCTGAGCTGCCCCGTTCTGCTGGCGTTTCCTTGTGCCCCTACCTGCGCTTGCCATACCCGGTTCGCAGGTACCATTCGGCTTCAGCAGCCATGTTCTAGGCATGATGCACCAGAAATTCCACTATTGGAAACATCAATTTCAGGCATTCAGACGAGTTAAATCAAAAGAGTAAAAGCCACAAAACACGGATGCGAAGGGAAAAGCAAAGAACCAAGGAAGGAATCGCTGTTCAGAAAGGAAACACGTTTGGCGCTACCGGAATCACTCTTCCGCGCTGCTCCCCCCCGGTACGAGGCCGCACGCACCCCGACAGCCTTATTTAAACGAAATATGAAGTAAATAACGAAGCTAAACTGACGCTGAACCGCATGGGCCGAGCCCGCCCGCCCGCCACACCGCACCCGGTGCCCCGTACCCCGGCCAGCACGGCCGAGGAGGAGGAGGAAGAGGAACCCGACCCACCCGGCCCCGCCAGCCCCCAGAGCCACCCCGGTCCGTGCCTTACCGGAGCCGCAGCGGGGTTGGCGGCCGCGGTCCGGTCCGGTCTCCGGTCCCGGCAGCGCTCAGCGGGGCTGCGGCACGGGCGGACTCTGCACCATCGCCCTGCCCTGCCGGGCGCTGCGGGGAGGCCGCTGCCGCCGCCGCTCCCGGACACCCGCCTCCTCCTCCGCCCGCTGCTTCCGGGGGCGGGGGGGGGGGGGGGGGTAACGGGGACGCGGCCGCCACCTCTCACCCCGCGCGGATGGCGGCGCGGAAGGGACAAAACTGCTGCGAGGGAGGAGCCGGCGGCGGGCGCGGAACAGCCCCGAGCGGGTACCAGTGATACCGGGAGATAAAGGGTTAACACTGTGCCTGCTTGCTTAAGCAGTCGCTGCGCTTGGTGAAGCACAACCGTAGGAGGCAAAGTTGCTAGAACGGTGAAGCAGAACTGTAGGAGATAAGATTCATAGCTCAACATTTAGGACGTTCTTGGTTAAAGAGGATCCATAGAAGGAAAAGGAACAAAAGATAGCCAGAGTAACAAAACTTACAAACTTGACAAGTTTCTGCTTTAAGATACATAAAACCGGCTTGTACCGAACCTGAGGTTTGGAGAGGAGCCGAAACCCTGTTGAGTCTGCAAGAGGGTACTCACGGTGATGAAGAGGAACTACAGGCCTTCATCCTCATGACCCCCTAACGACCACCACCAGGAGGCACTGTGCGGGCGCACCAATGGGACAAATGCCAGAAAACTAATTATAATACTAGATGGGAATATTATTACTATATTATATATTATTATATGCAATATAAATTAATTGAGTGGCAAAGGAGGGGTGCGCATGCTTTTGGAGAAGCAATCCCCGTGCGCCTCAGCGCTGAAGAAAAGCATGCCTACTTTACAACTCTAACGAGTTGTGGAGTCTATCCGCTTATCACCAAGGGCTGGGGACAGGCTCGAAAGGGGAGCTTGGGGGCTGCGAGATGCCCAGCACCCGCTCCTGCATCCCTTAGGGTCACCTCCTCCCTCCATTCCCCCTTCTCTCCACTAAAAACTATCCAAAACTTTGGGGGTTTACCTTAAAAAACAGATGGAATTTGTTAGGGGAGGTGTGAGGCATGTGGTTAACGGTGGTGGTGGTGGAATGCTAGCAGCAGAGACAGTGGCTATGTGACATACTCCAATGAAAGGCAATGAAATTCCCAGCCCACCAGCATCCCCAGTTGTAGCCATTTACTCCACTGTTACCACTAGAGCAAGGGCAGCTGCAATTCAGAGCCAAGGTCCCCTCTCTGCAACCCACAGCAGTTCAACACACTGGAAGAAAAGCATCCCTAAGCATTTGCAATAGTGGCGGTACCTTGGAAGCAGTAGTTACATGAAGGTAGAAAGGTGAGGAATGGGTTTGTCTTCAAAGAGAGCCACTAACTTCCTCAGTTAGTGCTTGGAAGGCAGAAGCAGCATTCCCAACGCACATGTGGCAAGCCTCAAGACACTTAAACAACAAATCATACACCAAAGCCCTTGTACAGTTTAATGAACCAGTCCTCCTTTAAAATATATGTACTACAGCAAAATGAAAAAGGAGTTCACATGCAAAGTAGCTTACAATGTAAGTTCTGATTCCTAGCAATGAGCTGCACAAGCTTTCAGTAATACTGAACTAGTAGTGGGCTGTTGAAAACAAGTGATTTTTGATGCCGTGGCTGTCACCAAAGCGCAGCAGCTGCTGTGAATTCCAATTCACTAAGGCAGCATTTCACTTAAACTCTCTGGGTTACAAGTAACTTGTCCATAGATACTATTCCATAACATTTTACATCACTAGTGGCTCTTGCTGTATCTCGCCCTGAATTGCCTCTGGGACTAGAGCATCAAGAGCAGCAGTGCCTGGTCCCAAGCGGTATGGGGGCTGCCATTCTGAATGGTTAACCCTGGAATGGCACTCTGCAGTTACTACTAGAGCAACTGAACTACTTTTATGCAAGACAACATCCCCGTTTTACCTACAGGCAGGTCATTTGTCTAATAAAATACTGACAGTGAGTTACTCCAACACTAACCTGTGAAAGCTGCTCCGAGTGTTGCTACTACCCAGGATTTACCATGGGTTTGGAGCAAACTACTCCTGCCTGCTGGCTAACTTTTAGATAGGGTATGGAAATCCATCTTACCTGCCTTACGGAGGAGTTGTTTGCTGAAAACACTCCCACTGTAGTGGCTTGATAACAAAGATGACATTTGAATAAGAGATACTTTAGTTACAAATGCACCAGCAAGTCGTTCTTAAGTACTTAATCACTACAATGAACTTTCTGCAAAGAAAAAGACCTTGTTACCTACACTTGCACTTGAATGGCTGAGAACTGTGCCTCCCAAAACGGAGGGAATGCTGAAGCAGCCACAATTATATTCACATTAATCATTAACAGCATTACAAAACCCAGTGATGAAATTCCTGGGACTCATTAACAAGGGAATAACGTACACACTTTTATTTAAACATGGCAATTTACACAATAGCTCAGTTTGGTGGTTTCTTCCTCCCCCCTCCCTCCTTGGGAAAACCGGTGTACCTGGATATAAGAATTAGCACCTACTGTTTATAAAGAAAATAAAGACTTTACAATTTTATTTACTGCAAACATGGTCAGATCTTAAGCAATTTAAGTGCAGTGACACATGGATATGTTAAGTCATAAAACTTCTTATGATCATCCGATTAACTCATTGCTTCCCCATAGCAGTGGAGTTTTGGGTAACTGGTTGTTCTCTGGAACACAAGGAATGCATAGTTCATAAGGCTAAATAGAAGGGACAAATCACAGTTGTGGTCTGAAATTATTGCAGCGCAAGTTTTCAATGGCAGGGTTTGTAAAGCAGTAGAACATAAGAAAGAGGTAGGTACTTCCCTCCTCGATGGTAAGAACTTAACATCGTGGCTCAAGCTAAGTTGCTTTACGTAGGGTATCTCAGGTACACCAACAAGTCACGGCAGACTGGCTGAACTGGAAGATACTTCAAATGATATATAAATGTTTCACTGGCATTAAAAAGTTATATTGCAAGGGGTTACTCTGTGGAGTGTGAGACTTAACTTGAAATACACCCATCTAACCTTATGGGGGCATAAAGCCCTATTTACCTTGCTGCTCAGTGCTTTAGCAAGGGAAGTCCCTTTGCTAAGGAGGCCCATTAAAGATCAGAAGACTGATGCTTCCTGAAATTAAAGTGCACTTTTCTGCTCATGCTGCTTCTAAAAAGCAAACTCTAATCATATGGACTTATTTACCTACCGGGATTGCCAAAACAGCAATCAAGACCTAACCCATTGATGGAAGTTACTGGGCAATGCCAGGAAAGAAAGCCACTTCTGGTGCAACTCTTGTGCTATCTCCTCCTCCTCCTCATGAATTTGTATTTTCAATACAAATATTTCTTCCTATTTCTGAAGCCTGGCTCAACACCCTCTTCAGAAGCAGTAATAACCAGCACTCTGTGCACCACTGAAGGCTATCAGTTGTACTGACAAAGCAGAGAGAACGTTCACATGGAGAAATACCATCTTTTAAATAGCACTTTTTTTTTTTTACGGAGCAGATTGAGATTAGTGTGAACTTTTCAGATCATTACAACAATTTCCTCTAATTCAATCAATACCATCTACCTTACTGAATCATTAACAGTGTACTTGCCTTTATACTGCAATGGGATTTAACCAAAAGGTGTTAAAATTAATACTTTGGGCATCATTTTCACTCAAACACAAGATGTCATGCACAGCTGAGACGTTAAGATTTGAAATCTATTTACAATTTTACATATTTTACAATATATATTTCATCTTTACAGCTACAGGAGAAATTCAGGCTCACATGGGTGCCATTCAAGGTTCTGCTGGAACTTGAATTCAAGTTAAACTAATCATTAAAACCAAGTATGTGCATGCCCAGAAGGAAGCTCTCAGGAAAAAAGTCAATGGACTAGTGTTGCTTAAAAATTACACCAGTTTGTGTAGAAAATTGAAATTCAGTTCAAAAACCCACAAAAGCCTAATAGAAATCCACCTAAAATAAATACAATTCATTACACTTAACCAAAACAAAATGCACCTTAAAAAATGTACTGATTTAAGCTCATCTGATTTTTTAGCCTTAAATTTACTTCCCTCCCCAAGTAGCAGATAACACTAGGTGAGAATAATGCTGCTTTTCAAGGGTAACACTGATAATTACCCTGCATACACCTGAGGCTGCAGTGGTGGGGGCAGCTTGTCATTCTCCACATTTTCAGAGTCAATAGCTGCTAAGGCTTGACTTTTTGGCTTTATTTCTAATGGGTATTTCTCAACAATATTTTGGACTTCCTTTGTAATTCCTTCAGTCCAATCTATTAGGTCTTTCTCAAGCTTCTTGGCTTCATTGACAATTCTTTCCTGCCTCTCATTCAACTGAGACAGGAGGTCTAAGTTTTTATACATCTGCTTAACACCCAGGCACACATCAGGTGAGAAACTGTCGGATTCTTGCTTCTTTGGGGATGTCTGACCAGTCATAAACCGATCAAAGTCTTCCTGGCTTAGGTTTAAAGACTGAGCATCCAGTTTTTCAATGAAGGCCACAGCACAGCACTACAAACAAAACAGAGAGTGAGCGTCACTGCAAGGTACAGACTGAAATGTACACCTTCATTTTTTATCCTGCTGTACATCACAAACCTCTAAGGTCTCTCTGGTAGGTGAGAGAACAGAAGGTACATGGCAGCTAGACAACAGCACTATATTGGTATTTAATGATCTCATCAGCAGGGATCTAATAAGCTCTTTATTCACTTTCTGAAGGAAGGAATGTCAAATGCCCATCTTACCTTACAGATGCTCTCCTCAAAGGAATTTTTAACATTCCAAGTATTTCATTCATCTATTTTCCCTCAAGAATTGTTTCACAATGAAATACAGAGAAGCCATGTTCATAGTCATAATTCCTTCCCAATTAAACAAGCGCACACCAATAAATGTCTGCTGCAGAAGCTTTAAAGAACCTGCCTTAGCATCAGACTGTTCAAATGAAGGGTTTAACATTATAGAGAAAGCAAAGCACTGTCTGGTTTGGAAAACAGAGAAGGAAGAGGGAGGAGATAGAAAGCAAAAGAGCTGCTGAACTTTAAGTATCATCAACCACTACTGGAAGATTAGTTT